TTTTCTAAAATAATAGTTTGTAAGTTAGCTATATTTGCTTGTTAAATCTATTATATAATAGTATTTTGTATTTGTAATCTTAGTTAAAGGTTATTACAAAATAAATATACTAAAATAATTCTAAACTTAAAATTATGTTTAAAGAAAAAGTCTATAGCAATCATATATTCTAGAATAGTAAGGATTTTGTAGATGATCTAAATATTAATTATAATAGCTATACTAGCTTTAAAGCTACTAGTGCTAAATTAGTAATATATAAAGTATTTAAATTTTTGTAGCTTGATAGTAGGCTTGTATTAGCTATTTTAGTTTTAATAATACTGATGATATTTAAATTATTAGAAAAACAAAAGTTTTCTCAAACTTGCTATTTGAGATCAATATTATATCCTTATATATTATATATACATATAAATAGATTAAGTGCTTGATTAGATTTAGAGTTGCTTAGATAGTTATTAGTAAGTTGGGTTGAGTTAGATAGAGATAAAGAAAAAATCAGTATATTCGATTGTGATTTTAAAAAAATATTATAAGAATCATATATAAATAGAATATAATAGTTGAAAAATATTTTAGGTTCATATAGTAAATATATATACCCTTCTAATTTATTACTATTAATAGTGATAAGAGTATAGCTTGCAAGATGCTTAGCATTGTTTTGTTTTAGATATTGTAAAAAGGAATTAATAGTTTGTAGTTTTCTTAATAAAAAAATTTGATAGTAGACAAAAAATTTGGTGTAGTATATTTCCAAGTCATAAAAGTTTAATAATATTGGTAATAACTTGGATAGAAGTTTTTTTGTAGATTTGCTTATTATTTTAAGCTCAGTTCTTATAGCTGCAAAGAGTTTTATAATCTGCTCTTTGTATTTGGTCTGATCATTATTATCTTGGTTCTTTATATAAATAGGTTTATTTATTTGTCTACTTATATCATTTTTTTTTAAAAATAGCCTACTAAAAGTAGAGAATATTATTTTACTAGAAGCAGTAGCTGTTTCAATAGATTTTACAGAATAAATTATTAAAAAAGATTGTATAAAAGAGTGGTAACAAGCTAAGAATTCTAATATAATTTAGTATTGAAATTTGAGTTTTGTTAAAAACTATTAGCTGTTTGATTATTAGTATTGGTGTTGTTATCATTATTTAAGTCAATTATAATAATATTATCATCATCTTTGTGATTTTTAGTAGATAGTATTTGGTTTTTATTAGTCTTAGAGATAAGAGTATAATTTGAAGTATCTTTTGGTTATTGGAGGTTAAAAGTTTTGGATAGATTAGTAGTTGCAAGATAAAAGAAAATATTTGATAGGATTTTAAATATTTTATAGCAGATTTTAAATTTTGTATATATAATCTGTTAAGTACAAGAAAAGTATATCTTTTTCTAAACTTTTTTAATATTTGTAATAGAAAGCTTATAAGACTTTAGAAAATAAAAATAGATAAAAACTCTAGTGGAATAATCTGTTTTGATTGGTTTGGTAGTGATTTTGTTAATTGCTTGTTTGGTGTGCACGTTATTAATTTGGTTATTTTTAGTAGCAGCTTTGAGATAGACATTAAGATAACTATAAAAATAGTAGCTTTTACAAGAATCATCTGTCTGTACTTTGTTAAGGTCTATAAATTTTTCTTTAGTATTGGTAACAAGTTAACAGAGAAAGAGAATTAAGATAGATTTTTGAAATATAGCTACTTGAGGTTTGCCTATATTAAATATAGAGAAATCAAGATCTGAGTATATATATATAATTTTGAATATTGTATAAGAGG